ACTTATTCAATTCTTCATCGTAATGCCAACTTAATAATATAAATAAATAAAAATAAAAAAAAATTATAAAAAATGGTAAATAATTATTAAATTTTTAATAATGAAAAACCATAAATATAATCATAAATATTCATAAAAAAATAGGTTTCACCTATAATATTCTTGCGAAAAAAATAATCAATTCCATAAAAATCATATAAAATGCTAAAAAAAAATAAAACACATTTACTTTGCTCACAGACTTTCTCAGTAAATCGTTCTTTCTAATTTATATTGTAAAAACATAAATATAAAAAAAAAAAAAAAAATTCAAGAAAATGATAAATTTTATTTTTTTTTTTTTTTTGTTTTTTATCGAGAAAAATCAAGTTTCTTAAATTCATCTAACAATATTCATTCATTTTTTTTTAACGATATAATATCTTGTTTCTAAGAAATTTTTGTTTATAAACTATTGTTATTTTTATTTTCTAAAAAAATTATAAGAAATAATTTTAAAAAAAAATAATCAAAAAAGAATTTAAATTTTCTCGTATTCATAGTAAAAAATTCTAAAATGATAAAAAAATATCTCAAAGAATGTCAAGTACATATATATATATATATATTACCAAATAAAAATTTCTTCATAAAAAACAAAAACATTAATATAGTTATATGAAAAAATAAGTGCATTACTTATTAACGTTAATTTTAGCTTTTTTTTTTTTATTGTATATATATATTTCTTGAAAAATATAACTAAATTATAATGCACTAATTTTTTAACAAAAATTTAAATATTAAAGTAAAAAAGAATTGGAATAACTTTAATCTATGCTTAAAGATTAATAATTTAACAACAAACAATATAGATTTTTATAATTGTAAGTCATTTTTCTATTAAACTTAAAATATTTTTTTTATGAAAATATATATGAATGATTAAAATATTATATTATAACTACCACTTATAGAATTTACATGCATATATATATGTTTTTTTTTTTTTTAAGTATTTTATATTTTATAAAAATATTATATAGATCCTTTATAATAAGAATTATAAGTTATTAAGTACATTATATTATTTGTATATAAACTATATTTTACTTCTTCAATTATATAAATTTACTAATAAAAAAAAAAATGCTGTAAAAATATTATATAATAATTAAATTCTTTATTCAAAATAGAAAAATTAAATAATGATATCTTTATTTCAAACTTACATTCATAGTTATGTGATTATATGAAAAATTTAAGAAAACACAGAAAAAAAGTTAAAATAATTTCTTTTTTTATACTAATTTTTTTTTTTAATTATAATTTCATAACATAAAATGATGTTTTAATATATCAATTATTTTATTTTTTTTTTTTCTTAATTTTAATTATATAAATTAAACTTTTGTTTTATTAATTATATTTTTTCTTGTTATTTGAAAACTAATGACATTACTGTTACATGAAATTAAAAATTTAATATTCAACACAAAAAGCAAACAAAAAATTCCCTTTACTCTAAATTAATATCGTATACTATATAAAATGCCAATTTTAAATATAAACAAATTTATAATATAGTTATCACATAAGTATAAGTATTTTCATTTCTACATAGAAATTATGACAATTTTCCAATGTAATTCAAGTGTATAATGATTTTAAAAAATAACAAAAATATCTATATTCAATTTTTTGGTCATATTAAATTATCTCTCTTCCTTAATTCGATTAATGAATATTTTTTAAATGTTTTGTAAATTTTATATATAAAATACATACATACACATTACGTTTTGGTTTTCTTCATATTTTTACATTTATCTATATTTCATATAAATATTTCTTTTCTTTAATAAATTAATTTTCGTAAACTATTGCAAAATATTTTGAGAAAACCTTGTAATGATATCATAATCATGAGAAAAAGATCCATTTTAAGGAAAGCAAGATTTTTATCACAAGCAGAAGAAACGTCCTGTATATTAGATGGACAAAATAGTAAAAGAAAAGAAAATGGAGATATCTCCTCTAGTGAAACAAATCAACTCAATATAGAAATTAAAACATTTATGGAAGATACTAATAATGAACTTAGTTTTTATCTCAATGACGACAGAATTAATAATCCTACAGATAAATGTCAAAAGTCATCCTCATATCTAAATTGGAGAGGAATGGACTTTGTTAATTTAGTATTAAATGAAGAAAATAGTCATAACATCTCAAGTCTTGTTGAATGTTGGAATAAAAAACAAAAATCTTTCGAGACACAAATACATGATAAAATAAATTCAACATGTCCTTTGAAAAATTTTGATTATTGTGCTGTTTTGAATAAAAATGATAATTGCACCAGTCCTTATAAAGATAATAATATACCTGGGTTAATATCATTAACGTATAATCAACTGAATGAGAGTGAATATAATCAAAATAAAACTGAAATTATTTATGAAAGAGCTTCTCAGTTTGATTCTGTTACTAATAGTATATCTAATTACTATTATAAAATATATGAAGCTAATTCAAATCAACTTAATTGTTGGAAGTGGAGTATGTATATATATAAGAGAGGGAGACAATTTGTTAATATGATGAATCATGAACTTTATTCCGAGGAACATTATAGAAATGAATTTGTTGATAATTGGAATTCTTTTAGTAATAATTTGCAACAAAGTATATTAAGGGGCACAAATAATCAATGTAATATGACATCACTAATTTACGAAATTAAAAAGAGAGAGAATACAACTAAACGATATGATATATATTGGATTCTTTCAGATAAGCAGGATAATTCTACTGAATCTTTATATCCTACAATTTCATTACCATCTATTACACAATCTACAATGGGAACGCCTGATACACCACATGCTACTTCTAATGCAAATTCATTAGATTATGATACAAAAACTGATAGTGCCCTAAATCGTTATAGTGATTCTAAAAATGTATCCGCAAATGATGCCATAGTAACACCGAATGATGAAGGCAAAAATGCAAAAATTACAACCACTGTTTCTCTAGTAGATCCAACACAATCATATTCTTTATCTTCAAATGATACGCATGGATATAACTCGTCTAAAGATGATCCTTCAATTTTACTTTCTTCTACAAATGATAACTCTACACATCCTATTACTATTGTTAAATCTTCTGAAAGTAATACTACACCTTCAACAACTGTACCTTCTCCTGAAACTACATCATCTCATACAACCATGTTTTCTCGAAATAACAATTTATCTTCCTCAGGAGTTTCTGCATCCCCTATCACTGAATCTAGTAATTCTACAACTGATGATGATACTTCTTTATTTAATCGTATACATTCTACAAATAACCATGCATCTCCTGCTATAGATATGGCCAAATCTGCCACTCCTAGCAGTGTACAACCTATATCTGTTACTGAAAATAATTCTAATGGTACTCCACCAATTGTAAATGAATCATTATCAGAGGCACCTAATTCTAAACCTCCTGTGGAGGCACATACTCCTCTTATTAAAGCTGAGCTTCCCAAAAATGATACTGTGTCCCCATCCTCATTTAAATCTTTAATGCCTTTAGATATGAATACTTCTCCTAGTAATACGACTGAATCTTCTACAACAAATAATGATACACAATTAATTGGAAAAAGCTATTCCCCAACACAAAGTTCACAAAATACACTTACTCCTATTGCTCAACATAATAAATTACCATTAATCGGAGTTCAAAATGATACATTATCAAACTGTTTGAGCAATTGTCCTACGGATATGAATGTTACAAATAGTACTACCCCACAAACTCCATTAGTTGAGAATATTGAACCTACACCTACAATTAATCCTGACGTAAATATATTAACAATAGCTCCAATAGGTATACTCATTTTAGGAATTATATTCCTTTTAGTTATTCTCTATAGAGTAAGATAAAATTAATAATTAAAAATTCAAAAGCATACATATTTAAAATACTAATATCATTATTACTAAATTTTTCATAATTGTTTAATTTTTAATTTAAATTTTAGTGCACTCCTATTGGATCTTGGTTTCGTAATCGAAAATCAAGGAAAAAAAAAATAAGAAAAAAGATAAAAAAAATTTCAAAGAAACCAATGCCATTATCTACAAATAATATAGAGGATGGATCAATAAATAGTGTAAATCACTGTTTGTTACAGCATGAAAAACAAATGCTACTATGTGAGGTTAGTTTTGAACGTGAAAGAAATTTGAAACATGAGCAGAGGGAAAAAACCAAAGAACCTAAAGGAATATACAATGAAAAAGAAAATAAACGCATTTATGATGATACAGAAGTAGGGTCAAATAAGTATGAAAATAAATTTATTGATGGAGAAAAATTAAATACAGATAATCCTAAAAGTGAAATAAAAAAAGAGGAATTGAATGGAAATGAACCTAGTAGTGAAATTGAAGATGAATTAAATAAAAATATATTAGAAAAAGATCCTGTTAATATTGTATGGCATATTAGGAATGGCACATTAAATGAGGAAAAAGAAAATGAAATAAATTCGCAGAAGGAAAAATCTACATGTGATACTGAAATGAAAAATTTAAGAAATAAAACGTCAAGCAAGAATGATATATGTAATTGGAATTCATGGGTTGATATACATATGTTAGCGTTACTAGAGTGTAAAAAAGAGGAATGGAAATTGAATAAAAATGAATTTTTTAATATTTGTTTAGAAGAGATCCAAAAAGATGGAGAAAATTCTAATTTAAAAGAAATGGGAAATAATTTTATAATGAAAATAAAAGAAAAAAAAAGTACTGATACAATAGGTAAAGAAAGTAGTATATTAGAGAAATATAGAAATGAAAAGTGGTTTATTAATTTGAAGAAAGAATGGAAAGAAGAACAAGAAAAATACTTAGAATATTTAGAAGAACATGAAATTGAAAAAATGACAGAAATGGGAGTAAATAATATTATTCTATATAAAAAAAAAAAAATATGGAAGAAATGGATAGAATGGCAAATAGAGCATTCATACAAATACAAAAATCAGAATTGGTTTATAAAATTGTTAGAAGAATATGAAAAAGAAGAAATTAATGAATATTTAAAGGAAGAAAATATAGAGAAAGAAAGAAATAATGGAATAGATAAATGTGAAATAAAGAAAATTTTGGAAAGGAGAATTTTGTTAGATATTCATATGATGTTATTAGAGGAATGTATAAAAGAAGAGTTGCAAAAAGAAGAAGAATTTTATAAAACAAACATAATTGAGATAAGAAAATTTAAAAATTTGGACGAAGAAACAAATAAATTAGAAAAAATAGAGAGAGAAAGAAGTTGGAATGTTATATCAGAGAAAGAAAAAGAGGAAATAGAAAAATGGAAAAAAGAAAAATGGTTTATTGAGTTAATGTTAGAATGGAAAAATAATGAAGAAAATTATATGATGGAGATAAATGAAGAAATTTTAGCAAAAAAGAATCAAGAAAGTGTAATAGATGTTATCTTAGAAAGACAAAGCAATATATTGAAAAAACACTGTGAAAATATTTATAGAAAGTGGAAAGATGATGATAACAATGAAGAATGGTTTACAAAGTTAGTTAAAGTACATGAAAATGAACAGAAAGAATATAAAAGTAGAATTGATAACAATAGTATAGAAAAAAAAAAAGAAAATGTAAAAACCGTAGATATTTGTGAACCAGTAATAGAGTTTAACAAAAAGGGAGAAGAGAAAATGAGAAAATATGAAAGGAATAGTTTACAGGAATCATATGAAAAGAATAATTCTATAATAAACAAAAAAAAATTAAAATGGAAGACTTTAATAGAAATATATATGGTAATATTGGAGGAATGTAGAAAAGAAGAGTGGTTATTGAATAAAGGAAAATTTTTAGAAACCTGTTTAGATGAATTTATAAAAGAAGAAAAAGAAAAATATCCAGAAATAATAGAAAATGATTTAGCCATCATAAAAGAAGGGGCAGAAGGCATTAGTACATTAATGATTGAGAAACAAAAACTTTTATGGAAAAAATGGGTACAAAGAAACAAAAGAATGTCAGAGAAATGGAAAAATGAAGAATGGTTTATTAATTTAAAAAAAGAATGGGGAAAAGAACAAGAAAAATTTAATGAATTAACAAAAGAATCAGAAATATCAGATATAGTAGCAGGAAAAAATCCTATGCTAGAGAAACAAAAAAGAATATGGAAACGATGGCTAAGAAAACAAAGAATGTGGTTTATACTACATAGCGAGGATGAATGGTTTAACAATTTATTGGAAGAATACGAAGAAGAAGAAGAATGTATGAAAAGAATAACTAAAAAAGATACGAAAAAGGAGAAGGAAATTCATGAAAATATAGAAGAATTGAAGCAAGTAGGAGATAACGAAATACAGAAAAATAGAAAAAAAAGGATGAAATTGATACAAAAGATTTGGATAGAAATACATATGACGCTATTAGAAGAATGTATGAAAGACGAATGGCAAAAAGAAAAAGAATATTTTTTTAAAACAATGATGGAAGAGTTGAAAATACAAGAAAATTTAGATGAAAATGTTATCATATTGGAAATAAAAAAAAAAAGAAGTAGGAATGCTATATTAGATATTGAAAAAGTGGAAATAGAAAAATGGAAAAAGAAAAAATGGTTTATAGAGTTAATGTTGGAAATGAATAACAAGGAAAAAACATACATAAAAGACGTATATGAAGATATGATAGAAAAAAAGAATGAGGAAAAAATTAGAAATCCCATGTTAGAAATGCAAAAAATTATATGGAAAAAACACTGTGAAGATATTCATAGGAGGTGGATAGAAAAAAATAATGAGGAAATTTTACAACACTAATTTATTAATAAAAAAATGGAGATAATGAATAAAAAAGCAATATTTATAAATAGAGTGTAGGAAAGAAAATTTGATGGAAAGAAACTCGAAAATTAAGTAAAACAATAGAAAAAAATTTAGAAGTAATAAACAGAATTTTTAAACTTTTTGAATGGTTGTTAAGAATTAAACTTAAACATTTCTTGATGCTTAGTTATTGATTGCTTAATTTACCCATTCAATGATCTCGTTAGAATATTGATTTATTAATTTATTGTATAATAATTTTTCTAATGTTTAACAAATAAATTAAATATGTATAAATATAACTATAATTATTTTATTTAGAAAAAAATAAATCATTACATAAATCAATTATATTTTATTAACTAATATCAAATTTTAACTTTATTATTTATTGTTTAAGCTAATTTATACAATATAAATGTAATATCTAACGTTGTTTTATTTAATTTTTCATGAAAAAAAGAGTAATACCCATCGTATCACCAAAAAAAAAGAAATTATTAATGTTTTTAAAATGAAATTTTTTTTTTTCTATTATAAAAAAAATAAAAAATAAAATTATTGCCATTTATTTTTTATTAAAATTTCATAGGTTGTCTGAGTAGTAAAATCCAAAAAAAAAAAAATTTTTTTTTTTTTTATAATATTAAATGCACACAAAAGAAAATAAATAAATGAAATATATTTTTTTTTTTTTTTTTATTTGTTTTTTAATTTTATGTTCAATTTTATTATTATCTATTAATACTCTTTTTAAATACTTTCATAGTGCTTTAAATAGTCAATAGATAGTATGTATAATGATTTTTACTTATTCTTTTTATTATTAAATTAACTTATATAGATATTTATATACATATTATACATGCATCAATTCATAATAATCTTAATAAATTTGTTATAAAATTTATTCTTTTTAAGACTTCTTTGTAATTTTTCATATAGAACAAAAAAAAAATTATTATATTTATATCTCCCAAAAAAAAGAAAAAAAAAAAATTTTTTTTTTTTTTAAAAATAAAAACGCATAAATAATGTTTTTTTATGAATATGCTAACAATACCATTTATTTTATACATAGTTCTGCTAAATTTGAGAAAATTTTCTTTTAACCACAAATTATCTTGTATTTTATTTCTCTACATGCAAAAGTTTTTATAAGTGTTCTCATACATATATCTCTTTATATACTTTTTAATTATCCTGCATGTAACTACATTTCTCTAAAATGAATTCAATCATTCTGTAAATGGTTAATAAAGGGCTTTATTAATCTTTTTGGAAAATAAAAGAACTATTAATATGAAGAATACATAGTTCATAATGCACACACAAAAAAAAAATAAAAAAAAATGATCAATTTTTTTGTTTGTATTTTTATAAAAAAAAAAATAAAGACGGTTAGAAAAAATGAAATTGATAAAAAAAAATCAATTGGAAAAAAATCTGTTACCTATAATAATGAGATAAAAAAAAAAAAAAAAAAAAAGATTTTTTTTTTTTGGAAAACAAAATATGATTTTAATGAATTTTGTAAGAGAAAATTTTACACATATAACAATAAAATTTTCACGTAATTAATATTTATATAATTAATTTGTATTATCACTAATTGTTTATGTTTGTTAATTCAACAGCAATATATATTAATTGTTGAACATAACTCATAACAAAGAAACAAGTAATACACATTTAATTAATAATCAATATTCAATAAGGATATAAATTTTTAATAAAAATAAAGATTTTTATTAAAGTAAATAAATGCCCATTTAAATTAAAGAATGCTGAATGAAGTAGATTACGTAATTAAGGAACCCTTATTCAAAGCATTTATAAATATATATAAATACATCAAAAACGTAGAGGCAGCTCTACATGCTCTTTATTAATTTGTTTGTTCAGTGCTCTATCAAAGTAGTCGAACACCCAGTTAATAAACCACTAATACATAATAATAAAATTTTTATTTTTGAAATATTTATATAATTTTATGTGTCTCATTAATTGCCTATGTTTGCTAACTTGAAAGCAGCGGATTTGAGTTCCTGAACATTATTCATAACATTATAAATCATACATATGAATTAAGAGTTAATGTTCTATTAGGAATTAAATTTTTAATAAAAGCAGAGATTTTTATTAATGTAAATAAATATCTTTTAAAAACAAGGAATGTTCAATGATGTAGACTATATATAAAACAGTTTAGTAGTTCATAGCATTGAAAAATTATGTTTGAATTCACTAAATTAGTAGAGAAAGCCATAATAGCTCTTTATTAATATATCAGTTCAATGCTCTAGAAATGTCAATGGATTGGAAATTAATATATCATTTATATAAGGTTATTTTATAACCAATAAAAATAGTAGTTATTATTCTAAATGTTTTTTATTAATTTGATTATTCATTATACTATTAATTTATTTGAAAGGACAATTAATAAATTAATCATCTTTAATAAAAAAATTTAATTTCTGTATTTCTAATTTTTTCATTGTATATACAAGGTATTAAGAAGATATAAATATGTACATGTTGTAAATGAAGTTCTCTGTAAAAAATATAATTCTTTTTATTTCACATCTATGCATATATATTTTTTTTATATTTTTAGCTAGATTTGCGTCTAAAAAAAAAATTTTATATGTTCCCAAATTTCACATTTTTGCAGATTCACGTCACAACATTTATCTGATAATGTTGATAATTCATTTCATTAACCAACTTATTCATTGTATTTCTTAAGTTTATTTAATTTACGAAAAAAAAAAATTTAGATAAATGGTAGATGTTACTTAAGGTTGTCATTATAATTTAGGAATTATTCTATTTTTTATGAAATTATTACTTATTTAAATTGGAAAAATCTATTAAAATTAAAAAAAAAAAAGTTAACTATGATAAAATTAAATTTTCAACTTCAGAAAATTAAGATAACATAAAAAAGAAATTGAACATTGGATTATAAGCTGTAAATAAAATATTACAATATATATAGTTACATAAGTTATATTATTTAAATTATTTTAATGATGTAATTAATGGCAATTTTATACATATTTCATTTACTCAATTATTACAATTTTACTATTAAGAATGATACATTGGCATAAATGTATTAACAAAGCTACACCATATATTGATGAAAAATAAAAATTAATCTAATAAATGTTATTATTAAAAATAAATGTAATCATATTTATAAATATAAATGGAATATAAACATAATAATTACAATAAGAAAAACATTATATAACATTTTATGTTTAAAATTGTTTTGTATCTTATTTTAATGATTCTTTTAAAATATAAAGTTGAAATACAAGTAATATATATATTATATATCCTCTTTTTTGAAGAACTATATTATTTTTAATTCTTTTTTTTTTTGGTTAATTGAATAGACTTTATGGTATTTATATAATAATATATTATATTTTTTATATATTTAACAGATACGTAAATTATAGAATATGCAAATGGATAATAAACTATCTTTCTGATATAAAAATGATAAGAATGAAATAAAGTTTCATTTAAATTATAATAGAGACATCTTTGTATTAGGTTAACAAAAATCAATATTTTGAAAATTATCTACAGGTAAATCTTTCATTTTATCTATACATAAGATTAATTTATAATACATAAAACACATACATTTAAAATACATGACAAATTTTAGAAAGAAAGCTAAGGAATATTTCATTTGGGGTTATATTATTCCTCATCTTTAATAGAAGCAGAAATATATAAATATTAAAAGATGCTATCAACAATATTTATTTAATATTAAATAAAACAAGTAGAGAATAAAAAGCTAAATAAATTGAAAATGATAAAATATATAAAATTCAGTTTAACAAGCTTCTTCTGTAAACATTTAAACGTAAATAAGATACTACATTTTCAAAAAAAAAAAAATTCATAATTACCTTATATAAATGCTTTTTCCTATTAATATTTATATATATATTTATATTTATATTTTTTTTATTTTTTTATCTTCTTTTACTATTATCTTATCAAGTTCTTTTTTCCATTTTAAATTAAACTCACTTTCTTCTTCATTAACTTTCATATTTTCTTCTCTTTTGCACTTTTCATTTTTTTCCATTATGCTCTTTTCCAACTCTTTCTTTTATCATTTTCTTTTCGCACTCTTCTTTTATTTCCGCATTTCCTTTTCAAACTTTTCAATTATTTCTAGCATTTTCTTTTCCCCCTCTTCCTTGTTTTTACGCATTTTCTTATCCAACTTAATTTTTTCATTTTTTATTCTCTTTTTCCAAACTTCGCCTTTATTTATAATTCGCTTTTCCCACTCTTCCAATTGTTTTAGCATACCCTCACCACACAGTTGCTTTTCTTTTAGCGTTTTCTTTTCCCACTCTTCCTTTTTTTTTAGAACTCTCTTTTCCTGTACTTCTATTTCTTTTTTTTTTTTTAGCAGTTTCTTTTGACCATCTTCCATTTTTTTTTTTACTTCTAGCATTTCCTTTGCCAAATCATCTTTCACCTTTTTATTGCTATTATTCAATATCTTCTGCAACCTCATATTCATTTCATTTTTAGCTTTCAATTTAAGAGAGTAAGTTTTCTGTAAATTATTACAAATGATTTAAAATTTTGTTTTTATAATATATATTAAGTTTATAATAATAAACTTTATTTTACCTTAAAACGAAGGAAAAAAATAAAAATGATAACTAACTGAAAAATACTTAACGACATTTTATGAAGAAGATTTTTTGATGTAACTGAATCCAAATTGATATCTTCAGATGGATTTTGAATGGAATCACGTGAATTCAAATCATCATGTAATGGATTTTCTGGTATTGAAACAGTTGCATCTTTAATTTCCCTATGAGCGAAACTTGCAGTTGAATCTTCCTCATCTAGTGTCTCACAAGAATCAATATAAATAATATCACTTAGATTAAGATTCATTTTTGGTATCTTTAATAATGTAAAAAAAATTATTGAGAAATTATTTCTAATATTTTTTTTAATGAATTTTAAAATATTTCCCTTTTTTTACAGTAAGGATAATATAAGTTAAGAACAAAAAATGTGGAAATATAAATTAGAAATTAACAAATAATTTAAAACAATATGATTTTTTAAAAAAAAATTAGTTTTAAAATTTTTTTTCAAATTTTAACTCAGAAATGTCTATTAAAAGCTAAATCAATTACGACAACATAAAAATTTTAAATTTAAAATTCTAAATCCCACATCCTAAATCCTAAAATTATTAATTATATACTATAACCTCTTATTTATTATATATTTTTAATTATATTTTACATAATAGATATGTTGTTTAAATAATCAAAAAATAATAAATTTTTAGTTAATCTTTTATACTTACAAAAAAAAAATATTCCTTTTCATTTATCTATTTAATTTTTTTATTTAAATTAAAAGAGAATAATATAAAATACTATATAGATATGCAAAAAAAAAAAAAATGTTATATTCTTTTTTTTCTTAAAATATTTTTAGAATAGTTTGTATTTAGATACAATTATATAGGGTTTTAAAAATTTTTTTTTTTATTTTTATATATTTTTTTATTTATTTTTCTTTTTTTAAAAATTATTTATTCAAAACATGCAATTTTATCCTGGTTTAACTTATTATGACAATTATTACTAATTAAATAAAAAATGTGAAGTTAATTTAAATTAAACATTAGAAGGATTATGGTAATAAAGAAAAATAAATGTCACAACAAAATAAATATATATTCTATAAATACATTTTTATTTTTTTTTTTGTTTTTTTTTTGATGACATTTTTATGTTTTTGTTTTATAATTATGTAATAATTATATATACTAAAAGTTTTTTTTTTATCGTTATTTAATTTTTTTATCTTTTGTATCGTTTTATTATTTAAATGCTTACTTTCAAAACTTTAGCCATTTTTGTTTCCTCCTTTAAGATATTTTTATTATTTTATAATTATGGATTTTATTTTTTCTTTTACCATTTTTAAAGGAATCTTATTAGATATAATAAAATTAAATATAATAAAAAAGGATTAGTTAAATATAAAGTGCACTTGTAGGAAATATATCATTATACTGTATTCATAAAAGGAAGTTATGCTTTTCATTATGATCTTTTAATTTTAGATGAATCTTAAATAGATATATCTTAAAAAACTAATTTTTTTTTTATTTTTTTTCGTAAATAAAGAATGCATATTTTTAGAAGTAGTTTCAAATAAATTTTTTATATAAACATAGGATTTATATATTTCATATTTAATAAAATAAAATGTGAATTGTAGTATACTATAAAACTAAATAAAAAAATAAAGAATAAAAAAATGATTACAATTTTAAATTGCTTTAACTTCACACCTCATGCATATGTTTTACTATAAAAAATAAAATAACATTTCAATAAAAATAAATAAATTAATAGTAATTATTGTCAAGTATTTATTAATGATTCATTAAAAATAACTATGTAAATATAAAAAAAAATGTATAAACGTTATAAAGTTAATTTAAATGTCATTGAAGATATAACATACACATTTTAATTATAACGATTATTTACTTAATATTAAATATAATCAAATGACATTCCTCATATTTTATTAATATAATAAAAGAAAAAGAAAATTTTCAATTCACTTAAAGAAATGCAATAAATAAAATTCTAATAACAAATTCATATAAAAAAAAATTCTAAAATTATATTCTTAGTTAAAAAATGTTCTATTCATCTTTTTAAATATCTTAATTTTAATATAATTAAGATAATCAATATGCATGCAAAATATTTAAGAAAATACCTTATCAATCTAACTAAAAATACTATCGCGCAGTTATATATATAATATAAAAAATTTTTTAATTTTTTTCCTTGAATATTGTTTTATTTTTTTAGTGTTTATGTAGTTAATAATTTGTTTTTTTCTTTTTACTAATTTTTTTTTTGGATAATTGAATTTAATTTGAAAAAATTTAATTATCATCTATTTTTGATGAATAATTATTTTGTTCCTATTTGTTGATTAAGTACTTATTTTATGGAGAATTGTTAATTTATGTTAACAAAGATTATTTTATATATATTTATGAATATTTATATTGAGAATTTAAATTTTATTTAAATTGAGAATTTTTTCTTAAATTAGATAAATACATCTTATAAAATAATTAATGCGTTCAGAATAATAAAAGTTTTAAAAAAAAAAAAAAAAAAAAAAAAAAAAAAGATTATATATTCATATATATATAATATATATATATATTATTAAAAAAAAAATAGAAATCCTAAAGATTTTATTAAAGAAATCTCAATATCTAATTTTAGTAATATTTAGATAAAAAAAAAAAAAAAAAAGTAAAAAACTTATATTTTACTATGTGTAATTATTTTTACATCTATTTAATTTATTAATTTATTTTTTTTTTATTAACAAAGAATATTTCTTTTGAATATTTTGTAGCTTCTTATTAATTAAAATAAATAATATTTTCTATGTAGATAATTCTTTATTTTTTTCTAAAATATAAACATAAAACAATATTTTATAAAGATTTATATTTAAATTTTTTTGGAAAAAATAATATATTTACTTATAGAAACTTTTTTACGTCTATACTAGCATGCTAATTAATTTACTTATTTTTTTTTTTTTTATTTCTATAAATCTTTTACTAAATTTTATATATCTACTTTAGTTTTTAAAATATAATTTCTATTAAAAGATATAATTTTAATTACTATAATTTTTTTTATTATGTATTTTTTCTTTTTTATCTAATTATCCTTTTTTTTATTATTATTCTCTTATTCTTTTTTTTTTTTCCTCTAATTTTCTTTTTTTTCTCCTCATTTTTTTTTTTAATTTATTTTCTCTTTTATATCTTTTTTTTTTTTTTTTTTTTTTTTTTTTTAGGAAATAACGGAATAGATAAAAATGAAATGAAGAAAAATTTGGAAAGGAGAATTTTGTTAGATATTTATATGATGTTATTAGAGGAATGTATAAAAGAAGAGTTGCAAAAAGAAGAAGAATTTTATAAAACGAACATAATAGAGATAAGAAAATTTAAAAATTTGGACGAAGAAACAAATAAATTAGAAAAAATAGAGAGAGAAAGAAGTTCGAATGTTATATCAGAGAAAGAAAAAGAGGAAATAGAAAAATGGAAAAAAGAAAAATGGTTTATTGAGTTAATGTTAGAATGGAAAAATAATGAAGAAAAATATATGATGGAGATAAATGAAGAAATTTTAGCAAAAAAGGATCAAGGAAGAGTAATGGATATTATCTTAGAAAGACAAGGCAATATATTGAAAAAACATTGTGAAAATATTTATAGAAAGTGGAAAGAAGATGACAACAATGAAGAATGGTTTACAAAGTTAGTTAATATATATGAAAATGAACAGAATGAATATAAAAATAGAATTTATAAAAATAGTATAGTAAAACAAAAAGAAAATGTGAAAAACATAGAACGTTGTGAACCAGCAACTGAATTTAACAAAAAGGGAGAACAAAAAATGAGAAAATATGAAAGGAATTGTTTAGAGGAATCATATGAAAAGAATAATTCTATAATAAACAAAAAAAAACTAAAATGGAAGACTTTAATAGAAATATATATGGTAATATTGGAGGAATATAGAAAAGAGGAGTGGTTATTTAATAGAGGAAAATTTTTAGAAATCTGTTTAGAAGAATTTATAGAAGAAGATAAAGAAAAATATCCAAAACTAATAGAAAAAGATTTAGCAATGTTGAGAGAAGGGAAAGAACACATTAGTACATTGATGATTGAGAAACAAAAACTTTTATGGAAAAAATGGGTAGAAAGAAGCAAAAGAATGTCAGAGAAATGGAAAAATGAAGAATGGCTTATTAATTTGAAAAAAGAATGGGGAAAAGAACAAGAAAAATATGACGAATTAACAAAAGAATCAGAAATATCAGATATAGAAGCAGGAAAAAATCCTATGCTAGAGAAACAAAAAAGAATATGGAAACGATGGCTAAAAAAACAAAGAATGTGGTTTATACTACATAGCGAGGATGAATGGATTAACAATTTATTGGAAGAATACGAAGAAGAAGAAGAAAGTATGAAAAGAATAACTAAAAAAGATACGAAAAAAGAGAAGGAAATTCATGAAAATATAGAAGAATTGAAGCAAGTAGGAGATAACGAAATAGAGAAAAATAGAAAAAAAAGGGAGAAATTGATACAAAAGGTTTTGATAGAAATACATATGACGCTATTAGAAGAATGTATGAAAGACAAATGGCAAAAAGAAAAAGAATATTTTTTTAAAACAATGATGGAAGAGTTGAAAATACAAGAAAATTTAGATGAAAATGTTATCATATTGGAAATAAAAAAAAAAAGAAGTAGGAATGCTATATTAGATATTGAAAAAGTGGAAATAGAAAAATGGAAAAAGAAAAACTGGTTTATAGAGTTAATGTTGGAAATGAATAACAAGGAAAAAACATACATAAAAGACATATGTGAAGATATGTTAGCAAAAAAGAATGAAGGTGGAATTAAAAATCCCATGTTAGAAATGCAAAAAATTATATGGAAAAAACACTGTGAAGATATTCATAAAAAGTGGTTAGAAAAAAATAATAAGGAAATTTTACAACACTAATTTATTAATAAAAAATGGTGATAATGAATAAAAAAGCAATATTTATAAATAGAGTATAGGAGAGAAAAATAGTTGTGAAGAAACTGGAATATTACGTAAAACAATATAAAAAAATTTAGAATTGATAAATGGAATTATTAAACTTTTTGAATATTTCTTAGGAAATAAACTTAAATATTTCTAGATGCTTAGTTATTGATTGCTTAATTTACCCATTCAATAATTTTGTTAGAATATTGTTTTATTAATTTCTTGTATAATAAATTTGCTAATGTGGTACAAATAAATTAAATATATAAAAATATAATTATAATTATTTTATTTAGAATAAAATAAATCATTACATAAATCATTTATTTTTATTAACTAATATTAAATTTTAACTCTATTATTAATTGTTTTAGCCAATCTATACAACACAAATATAATATCTAACGTTATGTTATTTAATCTTTCATGAAAAAAAGAGTAATACCCATCGCATCACCAAAAAAAAAAAAATTATTATTCTTGTTTTTAAGATGAAATTTTTTTTTTTTTTTTTTTTTTTTTAAATTTATGTTCAATTTTATTATTACCTATTAATACTCTTTTTAAATACTTTCATAGTGCTTTAAATAGTCAATAGATAGTATGTATAATGATTTTTACTTATTCTTTTTATTATTAAATTAACTTATATATATATTTATATACATATTATACATGTATCTATTCATAATATACTTAACATATTTGTTATCAAATTTATGCTTTTTAAGACTTCTTTGTAATTTTTTATATAGAACCAAAAAAAAAAATATTTTTTTTTTTAAAAATAATAACTCATAAATAATGTTTTTTTATGAATATGATAACAATATCATTTATTTTACACCTAGTTCTGCTAAATTTGAGAAAATATTCTTTTAACCACAAATTATCTTGTATTTTATTTCTCTACATGCAAAAGTTATTATAAGTGTTCTTATACATATATCTCTTTATATACTTTTTAATTATCCTGCATGTAACTACATTGCTCTAAAATGAATTCTATCATTATGTAAATGGTTAATAAAAGGCTTTATTAATCTTTTTGGAAAATAAAAGAACTATTTATATGAAGAATACGTAGTTCATAATGCACACACAAAAAAAAAAAAAAAAAAATGATCAATTTTTGTCCTTGTATTTTTATAAAAAAAAAAATAAAGAAGGATAGAAAAAAAAAAATTGACAAAAAAAAAATCAATTGAAAAAATATTTGTTGCCAATAAATAAAAATAAAAAAAAAAAAAAGATTTTTTTTTTTTTTGGAAAACAAAGTATGATTTTAATGAATTTTGTAAGAGAAAATTTTACACATATAAAAATAAAATTTTCACGTAATTAATATTTATATAATTAATTTGTATTGTCACTAATTGTTTAGTTTGTTAATTCAACAGCAATATATATTAATTGCTGAACATAACTCATAACAAAGAAACAAGTAATATTCATTTAATTAATGATGAATATTCAATAAAGATATAAATTTTTAATAAAAGCAGAGATTTTTATTAATGTAAATAAATACTTTTTAAAAACATGGAATGTTCAATGAAGTAGACTATATATAAAAGAGTTTAGTAGTTCATAGAAATAAAAAATTATTTTTAAATTCACTAAATTAGGGAACTATAAATGCTCTTAATTAATTGTCTGTTCAATGATCTAGAAATGTCAATGGGTAGGAAATTAATATATCATTTTTATAAGGTTATTTTATAATGAATAAAATTAGTATTTTTTATTCTACATGTTTTTTATTAATTTGATTATTCAATATACTATTAATTTATTTGAAAGGACAATTAATAAATTAATCATCTTTAATAAAAAAATTTAATTTTTCCTTATTTTTAATTTTTTCATTGTATATACAAGCTATTAAGAAGATATAAATACGTACATGTTGTAAATGAAGTTGTCTGTAAAAAATATAATTCTTTTTAGTTCAAATCTATGTATATATATTTTTTTTATATATTTAGCTAGATTTTCCCTTAAAAGAAAAATTTTTATAAGTTCCTAAATTTCACATTTTTGCAGAATCACGTCACAACATTTATCTGATAATGTTGATAATTCATTTCATTAACCACCTTGTGCACTTTATTTCTTAAGTTTATTTAATTAATGAAAGAAAAAAAATTAGATAAATGGTAGATGTTACTTAAGGTTGTCATTATAATTAAGGAATTATTCTATTTTTTATGAAATTATTACTTATTTAAATTGGAAAAATCTATTAAAATTAAAAAAAAAAGTTAACTATGATAAAATTAAATTTTAACTTCAAAAAATTAAGATAACATAAAAAAGAAATTGAACATTGGATTATAAGTTGTAAATAAGATATTACAACATATATAGTTACATAAGTTATATTATTTAAATTATTTTAATCATGTAATTAATGATAATTTTATACATATTTCATTTACTCAATTATTACAATTTTACTATTAAGAATGATACATTGGCATAAAAGTATTAACAGAGCTACACTATATATTGATGAAAAATAAAAATAAAAATTAAACTATTAAATAATATTATTGAAAATAAATGTAATCATTTTTATAAATGTAAATGGAATATAAACATAAAAATTACAATAAGAAAAATATTATATAACATATTATGTTTAAAATTTTCTGGTATCTTATTTTAATGATTCTTTTAAAATATAAAGTTGAAATACAAGTAATATATATATTATATATCCTCCTTTTTGAAAAACTATATTATTTTATTTATCTTTTTTTTTTTTTTGTGGTTAATTGAATAGATTTTATGGTATTTGCATAATAAAATATTATATTTTTTATATATTTAACAGATACGTAAATTATAGAATATGCAAATGGATAATAAATTATCTTTCTGATATAAAAATTGATAAGAATGAAATAAAGTTTCATTTAAATTATAATAGAGACATCTTTGAATTAGGTTAACAAAAAGCAATATTTTGAAAATTATCTACAAGTAAATCTTTCATTTTATCTATACATAAGATTAATTTATAATACATACAACACATACATTTAAAATACATAACAAATTTTGGAATGAAAACTAAGGAATATTTCATTTTGGGTTATTTCTCATCTTTGATAAAAGCAGAAATATATAAATATTAAAAGATGCTATCAACAATATTTATTTAATATTAAATAAAACAAGTAGAGAATAAAAAGCTAAATAAAATAAAAATGTTAAAATATATAAAATTTAATTTAACAAGCTTCAGTTCTTTTTTCCACTTTGAATTCAACTTACTTTCTTCTTCATTAACTTTGATATTTTCTTCTCTTTTCCACTTTTCATTTTTTTCCATTATGCTCTTTTCCAACTCTTCCTTTTATCATTTTATTTTCCCACTCTTCTTTTCATTTAGCATTTTCTCTTCAAACTTTTCAATTACTTTTAGCATTCTCTCTTCCCCCTCTTCCTTATTTTTTTGTATTTTCTTTTCCAACTCCATTTTTTCTATTAGCATTCTCTTTTTCCATTTTTCGCCTTCTTCTGTAATTCGCTTTTTCCGCCCTTCTAATACTTTTAGCATACTCTCATCAAACACTTGCTTTTCTTTTAGCGTTCTTTCCCACTCTTCCTTATGTCTTAGAACTCCCTTTTCCCAATGTTCCATTTCTTTTTTTTTTTTTAGCAGTTTCTCTTGATCCTTTTCCATTTTTTTTTTTTCTTCTTGCATTTCCTTTTCCAAATCATCTTTCATCTTTTTATTGCAATTGTTCAATATCTTCTGCAACCTAACTCTCATTTCATGTTTAGCTTTAAATTTAGGAAAGTAATTCATCTATTAAAATAAGCACACTGCACATCATTTGCACCTGTTAATAAATCATAGAGACCCCTCTATGCAAAGGCTGATCTCTCTGTTTCAAGAGTGTCTGCAATATAATACAACATAATTCACAACTGAAGAAACTCTTCATATAAGATTACAACCATTTGCAATCTGATGGGTATTCAGACAGGATTGCTACATTATGCAAAACATAATTACAAACTGCTATCCTTGTAATACTGCGCTTTTGTATGTATGCAGATTATTATTAATGGTTAATCTTAAAATCATTGCACATACACTGCATTCAACAGAGTATAGTCTCAGATACTGTGCATTGGTATAAGAACATTATGGGTAGTGGAGTCTAGGTCCTGGTCTTATTTCTACTCTATTATTGTGCTGGTGTATACAAAGGATGAAATCTGTGTCTCCATTACATCCTGTAACACGTGAGTAATTCTTCAGAAATCAAAAATGAATCTTGGATTCATGTTGTTTTCTTCTTTTATTGTTGTTAATATAAAATTTTCTTATATAAATTTAAACAAAATATACTACAGGAAACTTTTTAGCCAGTAACTATTATTTTTTCAATTTTTCAACAATTCANGTCATCTTCTTTCCACTTTCTATAAATATTTTCACAATGTTTTTTCAATATATTGCCTTGTCTTTCTAAGATAATATCCATTACTCTTCCTTGATCCTTTTTTGCTAAAATTTCTTCATTTATCTCCATCATATATTTTTCTTCATTATTTTTCCATTCTAACATTAACTCAATAAACCATTTTTCTTTTTTCCATTTTTCTATTTCCTCTTTTTCTTTCTCTGATATAACATTCGAACTTCTTTCTCTCTCTATTTTTTCTAATTTATTTGTTTCTTCGTCCAAATTTTTAAATTTTCTTATCTCTATTATGTTCGTTTTATAAAATTCTTCTTCTTTTTGCAACTCTTCTTTTATACATTCCTCTAATAACATCATATAAATATCTAACAAAATTCTCCTTTCCAAATTTTTCTTCATTTCATTTTTATCTATTCCGTTATTTCCTTCTTTCTCTATATTTTCTTCCTTTAAATTTTCTTCAATTTCTTCTTTTTCATATTCTTCTTGCAATTGTACAAACCATTTCTGATTTTTGTATTCGTATGAATGCTTTATTTGCCATTCTATCCATTCCTTCCAGATTTTTTTTTTTTTACCTAGAATAAAATTGTTTAATCCCAATTCTGACATTTTTTTAATTTCATGTTCTTCTAAATATTGTAAGTGTTTTTCTTGTTCTTGTTTCCATTCTTTCTTCAAATTAATAAACCACATTTCATTTTTATATTTCTCTAATATACTACTATTTTTATCTATTGTATCGGTATTATTTTCTTCTTTTATTTTCATTACAAAATTATTTCCCATTTCTTTTAAATTAGAATTTTCTCCATCTTTTTTGATCTCTTCTAAACAAATATTAAAAAATTCGGTTTTATTCAATTTCCATTCTTCTTTTTTATTTTCAAGTAAGGCTATCAAATGTATATTTATCCATGTATTCCAACTACATACATCATTCTTGATTGACGTTTTATTTTCTAAATTTTTCATTTCAAAATCACATATAGGTTTTTCTTTTTGTAAATTTATTTCATTTTCTATTTCCTCATTTAATGTGCCATTTCTAATATTCAATACAGTTTGAAAAGGATTTTCTTCTAATCTATTTTTATTTAATTCGTCTTTAATTTCATTTCTAGATTCATCTACATTCAATTCCGCTTTTTCAATTTCACTTTTAGGATTATCTTTATTTAATTTTTCTTCACATATAAGTTCATTTTCATTCTTATTTGACTCTTCTTCTGTAACATCACAAATGCGTTTATTTTCATTTTCCATATAGTTTCCTTCATGTGTTTTGGATTTTTTAATTTGTTCAAACTTCAAATCTTTGTCATTTTCCATATACGTTCCTTCGTGAGCATTAGATTTCTGGATTTGTTCATAGTTCAAATCTTTTTCACTATTCTTGTACATTCCTTTATGTGCTTTGGATTTCTTTATTTTATCATACTTCAAATCTATTTCATTTTCCATATAGGTACCTTCATGTGTTTTGGATTTCTGCATTTTTTCTTGCTTCATGTCTTTTTCATTTTCCATATACATTCCTTTATGTGCTTTGGATTTCTTCATTTTTTCAAACTTCAAATCTTTGTCATTTTCCATATACATTCCTTTATGTGATTTGGATTTCTTCACATGTTTATACTTCAAATCATTTTCATTTTCCAAAATCATATCACATAGTGGTATTTCTTTTTCGTGGTATAAGAACGAATAATTTTCATTATTTATTGGTTCATTCTTTATATTGTTTGTATCCATTAACAACGGTTCCCTTGTTATTTTCTTAATCTTTTTTCTTGCTTTTTTTTTTTTTGACTTCCTATTACGAATCCAAGATCCAATGGGAGTATACTATAATTCAAATTAAAAAATAAAAAATTATAAAAATTCATCATGAATGTAATTATGATTTTAAATATATAAGTTATTTCCCTTTTAAATGTTAATTTTATCTTACTTTACAAAGAAGAATCAAAAAAAAAATAATTCCTAAAAGAAAAATACCTCCTGAAACCATTATTAATAAATTATCTGTAGGTTTAACTGTAGGCATAACATTCGTAGGAATATTTGATGGGGATGGCGTCAAAGTATATGGAACAGTCGCATTTGGACTTATTGAAGCATTTACAGTATTATTTTCAAGTTTATATTGTTGAGCCTGCATAAGAGGGGCATGTGTATTTTCTTGGTTCTGCAGTTGGATAATATCTGTTTGATTTGAAGGTAAATTGTTATTTGTTGTAGGAAAAAAAGCAGTTGGAGTTGTGAGAATAGGTGTATTATCAGGAGAATATGAAAGTGGAGTTGGAGATATAATATCAGAAGTAGGAGATGTAGTGTTAATTGCAAGAGATGTAATGTCAGTTTCAGGAGATGCAACTCTGTTTGTAGAAGGTTCAATGGTAGTAGTAGAATTTTCAATGCCATTTGTCGAGAAAGGTGTAGAATTATCTGTTAAAGGTGAAGTGATAGTAATATTAGTATCTACAGTCGTAGGGAGTATAGATGTATCTTTAAAAGATTCAGTTACAGTTGTAGGATACACAACACGAGGAATAGAGGATTTAGGTGTATTTATAGAAGTTTCAGATCTATTTATGGAATCATAATTAATTGTAGAAGTATTCATATCAATTGTGGGAGAATCGTGATTAATAACAGATGTAGTTTTAGAGGAAATTGATGATGTAGTTTCAGATGGTTTTATCTCAGTGGAAAAAGAAGATGTAGCTGTAGAATGTGTAGTATTGCTCGTAGAAGATTCCATATTAGATATAGAATCTGTAGAATTATGTATTGACGAAGATTTTTTACCACTTATAGAAGAGTCAATTGTAGATGTAGGATGTTCTGTGTTATCAGTTGGAGATACAGAATTATTTGTGGAAGGCAAAATGGTGATCGTAGGAGTAGATGAAGGTAGTGAAGGTGTAGAGCTATGTGTAGGAGTTGTAGGAGAAGGTTCAATCTCAGAAGAAGAAGAATCAATTGTAGGAGATTCAGTGCTATTTGTAGGTATAATTTTTTTTACAGAAATTGCACTTTCAGAAGGCAAAGATGCAGTTGTAAGAGGTGGAGTGATAGTAGTAGAAGGTGCAGTATTATTTGTAAATGACTTCATAGTAGTATTAGAATAATCATTGGCCGTTGTAGCAGATATTTCTCCAGGTAAAGGTGTAACCGAAGGTGTGCCACTACTTGTAGTAGAATTTGAAGGTAATGTTTCAGTTGTAGGAGATGTTACAACCTCGGGGGAATGTGATGATGAGGTTGTGTTAGATATATTATTAGTATTAGGATGTATTGTATCATTTGGAGTTAAAGAATTGGATTGTGTTGAGTCTTTTGGAGAAATTGTGGTTGCAGTTTCTAAATCAATTTTATCTGTAGTCATCGATGGTACAGAGGTGGTTCTTATGTATATATTATCAGAGGTATTGGTACCACTTATGTTATTATCAATACTCGTATTGCTATCCAATAAACTTGTAGTGGTAACATTAGGTAATGCATTAGGAATTTCAGTTGTAGGCTGTAAATTATCTTGTAATATAGTTGTATTATATAAGGTTTCATTAGGTTTATTTTGAGTGCTATTTGAAGGAAGCCAATCTAAATTATATGGATCAGTTCTATTTTTTCGTTCTTTAATTTGATAAATTAATGTTGTCATATTACATTGATTTTTAGTATCATCAAACACAGCAGTTTGTATATTATTACTATGTTGATTCCATCTTGTAATGGAATTATTTATATATCTTTCATCATTATAAAATTCATTGGTGTACATATTAACAAATTGCATTCCTCTCTTATATATATACATACTCCACTTTCCACAATTACGTGGAGATCTGTTACTTTCATACATTTGGTAATAGTAATGAGATATATCATTAGTAATATTGTGAAACCTATTCTCTCTATCTTCAATAATTTTAGTTTTGTTAGTACTATAAGTATCTTGACTGAGTTTATCGTATGTTAATAATGGGCTTACTGATAGATCATTATATTCATAAGGTCTAGTGCAGTTTTCATTTTTATTCAAAATAGCACAATAATCAAAAGTTGTTGCATTACATGTTGAATTTATTTCTTCATCTATACTTCTTTCAAAAGATCCTTTTTTCTTATTCCATTTTTCAACAAGACAGGAGATATTATAATCTTCTTTTTCACTTAATAGCAAATTAACATAGTCCATTCCCCTCCAATTTATGTATGTGGATGCCTTTTGACATTTTTCTGTGTCATTCTTAATATTATTGTCTTCAAGATAAAATTGAAGTTCATTACGAGTATCATTCATAAATGATTGAATTTCTGTATTGAGCTTAATTGTATCATTAGTTAAATTGGATTTGTTTTCTATTGTAGCATTTTTTTGATTTAACATGCAGGAAATTTCTTCTAATTGTGATAATAATCTTGCATTTTTTGAGGTTGAGTTTTTTTTCATGGCTGTTGTTTCACAAGGTTTTCTTAAAAAATACTGTAATAACATTTAAAAATTGATATATTGTGAAAAATAAATTTTTATATCAATAATGTATAAAGGCGAAAATTTAATGAAGAGAAAAAGGTAATAAATAAATATTCATTTATTTTACATTTGAGTTTTATCATACATTAAAAAGGCATACTTCAATCCAATTAAAGAAGAAAAATAATTTAATTTTACTAAAAAATTGAATATGGCTATTTTTATTATTTTTTAGTATCATTGTACACTTGAATTACATCAGGAAACTCTTATAATCTGCATGTAGAAATGACCACACTTGTGCTTATGTGATAACTATATCATAAATTTATTTATATTTGAAATTGTCATTTTATGCAACAAAAAAATCGCAATTCGGAGAAAAAGGAATTTTCTGTTTGCTTTTTGTGTAAAATATTAAATTATTGTAATTTTCATGTAATAATAATGTAATTAATTTTTAAAAAAAATGAAAAATTATGATAAATAAAATAAAAATTTAATTTATAAAATTAACATTAAGAAAAAAAAAAAGAAAACAATATTTAATGTAAAACTTTATTTTATACAATAAAATTTGTATGAAAAAAAGAAATCATATTTAGGATTTTTTCTGTGTTTTCTTAAATTTTCTATATAATTATATGAATATGAATATAAGTTTGAAGCGATAATATAATTATTTAATTTTGATATTTTGAATAAAATATTTAATTATTATATAATATTTTTATAGCAAATATTTTATGAAGATGAAATTTGAATAGTTGAAGTAAAATTTTATAAGTAGTATATGGTTTTTATAAATAAATAGCATAATTTACTTAATAATTTATAATTCTTATTTTAAAAGATCTAACTGTCACTTATAGAAAATGTAAAATAAGTAAAAAAAAAAAAAAGAAGTAAAATATATATATGTAAATTCTAAAATTGATAATTACAATATACTATTTTGGCTATTCGTATATATTTTTATAAATATATTATATTAAGTTTAATAGATGAAATAATTACAATTATAAAAAGCTACATTATTTGTTGTTAAATTATTAAATTTTAAACATTGATGAAACTTATTCCGATTTTTTTTATTATAGCATTTAAGTTTTTTTTGATAAATGAGTGCATTATAATTTAGTTTTATTTGTGGAGAAATATATGTATTAAAAAAAAAAAAAATTAGTTTATGTTAATGATTAATGCACTTTATTTTTTTCATTATAATTATATTAAACTTTTTATTTTTTTATTAATTTTTATTTGATAATATACATATATATATATCTAACATTATATAAGGAAATATTTTTTATTATTTTAGGATTTTTTATTATAAACAAAAAGAAACATAAATTATTTTTTTGTTATTTTTTTTATAATTATTTCTCATAATCTTTTTAGAAGATTAAAATAACAATAATTTATAAACAAAAATTTTTTAGCAAAAAGTTTTTTATATCGAAAAAAAAAAATGATTGAAAATGTGAATCGAATTCAAGGGACTGACTGATTTTTCTTTAGAAAAAAAAAAAATATAAAAAAATAAAGAAAAATAAAATTTATTATTTTATTCAATTTTTTTTTTTTTTTTTTAAATATTTGTACTTATAGAAGATAAATTACAATAGATAATTTACTGAAAAAATCCGTGAGAAAAGAAAATTTATTTTATTTTTAATAGTATTTTATTTGATTTTTATGAGGGTTTATTATTTTTTTATGGGAATATTAAAGATGAAACATATTTTTTTATGAATATTTATAATAATATTTATTAATTTTAATTATTAAAAATTTAATAATTATTTAAAATTTTTTATAATTTTTGTTATTTTTATTTATATATACTATTAAGTTGATATTATGGTTTATTAATTGGGTGTTCGGTGGCTTTTCTAGAGTACTGAAAAAACAAATTAATAAAGAGCATGTATAGTTGCTTCTAAGATTTTGATGTATTTATTTATATTTTTAAATGCTTTGAACGAGTAATCCTTAATTATGTAATCTACTTCATTCAGCATTCTTCAATCTCAATAGGCATTTATTTACTTTAATAAAAATCCTTATTTTTATTAAAAATTTAAATCCTCATTGAACATTGATTATTAATTAATTGTATATTACTTGTTTCTTTGTTATGAGTTACATTCAGCAATTAATATATATTGCTGTTGAATTAACAAACATAAACAATTAATTACAAATATTAATTACATGAAAATTTTAATGTTATATGTATAAAATTTTCTTTTAGAAAATTCATCACAAAAAAATTATTTCATTTCCTTCCTAAAAAGAAAAATTCTTTTTTTTTTTTTTTTTTATTTATTTATAAGTAACAAATATTTTTCTAATTCATTTTTTTAATCAATTTTTTCCTGACGATCTTTGCATTTTTTTTTCAAATTTGATTCCTGACAGTGTCTATACTTTCTTTTTAAAAAAAAGTACAAACAAAAAAAAAATCATAAATATTTTTTTTGTGTGTATATGCATGACAAACTTTGTATTCTTCATTTAACTAATCCTTTTATTTTCCAAAAAGGTTAATAATGCCTTTTATTAACCAAAGTGACATATATAAAAAAAAAAAAATATATTATTTTTGTATAATTGTAAGTACGAAAAAAAAAAATAACATAGTAATTCTATTTCATTTTTAGTATATTTACTTTTAGGGTGAGTATTTTTTTTATTGCGCAAACGTTTTTACATGTTTATATTTTTAGTTCATACGTTTCCTTTTCATTTTAGCATAAATAAATAGAAATGTTTTTAATCATTTTATTTATTTAAATATTAATGAAAATAGACCAACAATATTATTTATAAACTAACTAGTCAAATAGTAAATTATTTGGGTAATATAAGGCTTCATGGAACACTTTGAAAATGTATGAAATGATAGTGACTTATTTTAAAGTATTTCATATGTATTCAAGTTAATTAAAAGAGATGAAGGGAAATATGCATGATGATACGTACAATAATATTATGTTTGCACATAAAAAAGAAAAATAGTTATCCAAAAAATGAATACTTTTTGAAATGTAGTTAACACACGTTTATAAAATATACATAATATTAGTAATTTATTAGTTGCATGTTCAGTAACTTTAATGGTAATGAACAAACAAATTAATAAAGAGAATGTGGAGAAAACTCTATTTATTATACTCAAATAAAATAAATTAAATTATTTATTATTTAAATTAATTTACATAATGTCTAATTTATTAATTACTCGCTAAATGACTTAGTATTGAATAAATTGATTAATAAAGAGCACTTGGAGAAAGCTCTATTTATTTTATGTTTATTAAAATAAAAATATTAAAAAAATTATATGATTTTTTTTTTTAAATAATATGGAATATTAATTACACTGGTTAAATACTATTTTGGTTAATTTACACGATTTTCTATGGATGTATTTTTTAACATTACATCCTTAATAATGCATAAAAAAAATTATTATGCGTCATCACCCACTTAAAAAAAAAAGTAATTTTTTTTTTTTTAAGTCATCATTTTTTTAAAAAAAAAACTAAGAAAGAACGAAAAAGAATTAATCTATTACATGATTTATTAACAGTCTATTCAATGACATTCCTAGAATATTGAAAAAACCAATTAATAAAGAATAGGTATAGATGTTTGTACTAATTTAATGAATTCAAATATAATTTCAATGAAATGAATTACTAAATATATTTATATAGTTTACATCAATGAGAATTTATCGTTTTTAAACGGAATTTATTTATTTTAATAAAAATCTCTATTTTTATTAAAAATTTAAGTTATCATTGATTAATGATTTTTAATTATATTCATGTTAATTTAATGTTATGAATAATTTTTAGTAATTTAAATTTATTGCTATCAAATTAACAAACCTAAGTAATTAACAAAATAAATTGTATATAACTACAAAACATGAAAATTTTATTATCGTTAATATTAAAATTTCTTGTATAAAATAAAAAAAAAATTCACTACAAAGAAACATTTTAAGGAGCTTTTCTTTTTATTTTGAGATTATTAAATCATTTAAAAAAAAAAAAGTTAATAGATTTTTTTTTGTGTATTTTAAGTCTACAAAAAGAAAACAAAAAAAAATTACATATTTTTTTCTTTTACCTTGCGCTTGCATGGCTATTTTTTTATTTTCCATAAAGACATTACTCATTATAAACCAGAAACCTAACTTTTAATGAAATTCTAATTATCATTTTGATTATTAATATAAATGAAAAAAAAAAAAAAATTTCATAATATTTTAATAACTATTTTATTGTTTTACACAGTTTTTTTAATGAACATAAAAATTTATATAATAATATTCTCTACATAAATAAATGCACAAAAAAAAAGCTAAGAAATAAAATAATATGCATTAATGAATTATTATATTAATTAATATCCCCTTTTAAAGTGATAAGAGAAATTAATCTTAGAACCTCTATAAAAGCTAACATAAAATTGTCATAATTATTAATTAAATTATTGTATATATGTCTGCATATTACTCAATGTAAAAGGAAAATATTTTAAAAAAACATTATGGTTTAAATTTACTTCTCTAGGACCTTCATCATATTAATTCATTATGAACTTTTCATTACTTAATTATTTTATTATATAAAAATTAGATATGATTGATTAATCATTAAATAAAAATGTACAGAGAAGAAAAAATTTAATTTTAAAGTTATAGATAGAAATGTTTTTGAATAACTCTTTATTTAGCCTTTCAATAAAAATATAGTATTGAATAAGATAAATAGAACATTTTATTAAACATTTGCAAAGTGATTTAAATATAAAAAATATTTTTAATGTATGAATAGTGATAGACATATAATATAAATTATATATTTATTAGTTATAATAATAGTTAATACCCTTTAAGAAATAGATCATATAAATTTATACATCTATTAAATAAAGCACTGATTTTTTAAAAA